GAAAATTGGGTGTTTTGTATGGCAAAAGTGGGACGGACGACCAAGTGGCCAATGCACAGTGGAGTTGGATTTTCCATACGAGTTGCGGCCAAACTTTGATTAAATTTTGTTTACTGCTTTTGTTTGGTCTGCAAGTGAAAATGCCCGCCAGTTGGGTGGGAAAACTAAAAAGCGGGCGGAAAAACTTCAGCCACCCGCATATTGCGGTGAACAAATCATTATTATGAGGGAGTTGGGCGGCTAGACCACTTAATTACTTTTCAATTTAAATCAAATTACTGTAATGCGGTGATTTGGCGGAATATGGTTTGGGTAAGGGCATCATAAATGGCAAAATACAACAATCAAAATCTTTTATAAATCAATCAATTAGAATGTTGTCTTTAAATGGACTGGTTTGCTTTAACTGAATTTAATATATATTATAAATAATAACACATGATTGTTGAAAGAGCATTTTGCAGCATATACTTAGACACAATTTCAAGTGGTTTTAGAACAATATTAATATTTGCAGAAGCCTTTGGCATTTGCCATTTAAATGTATCGATAATATTTGCATAACTAAACAAATTAAATCCATGTGCATTAATTAAAGACAATGATTTATGTTGGTTGTGATAATATTTTATTAATTTCTTTTGGTATATTATAGGTGGTAAAATTTCAAATAGAAAACAGCTCAGATTTAAACTTGATTAGATTTGACTATTAATTTAAATTACTTTTCAGCAAAAAAATTGAATTAAATAGCAAATTCGATTGCCTTTCGGGCTTAAACTGCAATGGATGATGCCATTGCCTGTATTAAACAAAATTCATCCACTTGCCATACGGAAAACCTACCTATTCCCCAACCGAGAAACTCTCATCCTTAAGTAAGACTTCAAGGAGCATAAAACGCTTCGTTTTTGCTAGCCTTTGTTTATTGTCCTTTGCCCCAGTGGACACTCATTGAATATTGGCCAATTGCAATGGCAAAATCAATTTGCCAAATGGCCAACGAATTTGCATTTTTGTGTGCCACACACACACTTACATATGTCCTTATGCCCATTTTGGCTCGATTTCTGGGATGCCATCAGCATTATTACATCGGTCGTTTTACCTTTGACTTGCTTCTGATTTGCACGGAATACGGATACGGATATACACAGAAGGCACTACGGATGTGGATGTGGATGTGTGTGTGTGGTGTTTGTGCACGTGTTCATCTTCCCCCGAGTGTGTGTATCAGTGTGTGTGTGTGTGGGTTAGTTGACAACTAAACGTGTCAACGAGGCTAAGCAAGCAAAACTGTCAGGAGCAGTAGTTACAGGACCAAATGCGGGGAGGATGTCCTGCCTTCACCTGCCCCACTGACACATTAGGGTTACTCTTTTGGCTGCACAGCACACATAAATGTCCTGACTGCCACGCCCCCCCCCTCCCCCATCCATCCTTAGCCCCCAAATTGCAGCTTTGTAACTGCCATCATCCTTGTTATTGTTATTGCCATTGTTGCTGTTGTGTTGCAGCCAAATTTGTTGCCACTTCGATGAGATGACAAATTCGTGCCAAATTGCTTTCACTCTTTTGGTGCACTGTGAAAAACATCTTGATGCTTTACACTATTTGGAAAAATCTTCAATCAGATTTACTGACAAAACAAACAAAAAATTTAAGGAGAAACTACAAAACCACGTTTTAAAAAGTGTCAAAGTCTATATTTCTCTTTATTATTATTTCAATGTTTTCAGCAATATTATAATTATAACAAAAATGTTTTGCCTATAAATAAAGTCTTTAAATATGATTCCTCCAAATTCACAAATGTGTCATGAGATCATTGAGATCATGAAATCAACAAAAACTGCCTTCTAAGCCAACGGCTTATGAATAAAACAAATAAATAAATTGGCTTTGGAACGAGGTCAAACGAATATACAAAATAATTATCTTTCTGCGAACGGGGCTTGTGCTCTTAGTGACATTATCCAGCTTAGTCTTTTGTGTTTCTCAAACTGTATTTTCCAGGGCACCTCTGACCCATGCACACACTTTTAACCCCGTCGTCGTTCCATTTTCCATTGGCGTGTTGCAGCACACAAAACGTTGGCGACAGCAGCAAGTTAATAGTTTATGGCCAGGATGCGATTACAAGAGCTCCATTTTCCGAATGGGCCTTGACCTACACTGCCAGAGCTGAAAACCTTGGGCCAAAATGAATTCGGACTGAAAATCACTTGACATAACGCTGGTGGGCGAATGGTCGAGATGCGAACTGTGAGCTGTGAGCTGTCGACTGGTGGGTGGTGGGTGGTGCTTTATTTTGCATTAATTAAAAGCCCGTTATGCAGCGCGTTAAGCTCGTGTGATGGCTGCCGTGCTTGTCCTTGCGAATCAATCGATTGTCTGAACTGCTTTCTTTGCACTTCGAGTCTGAAAAGATGCCACTACAGTTTTTTATTGCCCTCTGGAAAGAGGGTATAATGATTTTTACATTGGGTTTCGCTGGCGTACATCTTCGGAACTTTGTTTTCTATTCGCTAAAATGTACAAATACACTATAATTTAAAGCACTAATCCAACATTATCGTTGCAAAATCTTATAAAATATCAGCTTCTAATCCTGTGATCTTTATCTTACATAATTAAGTGTATGTAATTTGTGCATGGTTTCTTTAAAAATATTTTTAAAAATACTTTAAATTAAAGAACTAATGCAGGACTAATAATCTCCTCATAATTGAGTGTATGTTATTTATGCATGGCGTTCTCTGCAAAATGTCACTAATTCAAGGTTGCTTAAAACTGCGAAAGGGTTCTTGGTTTAAATGAGTCGTGTCATTGTTTAATATGACGTTAAATTTGTTTCAAGGATATTAAATTCCTTGTTAAATTAAGATTTCAGCTGCCATGGCAACAATATACACTGAAGGGTATTCCCGTTTTCAATCGCCAAGCAAAGGCTTTCGTTCTTGTCCTTTCCTCATCAAATCCCTCCCGTTCCCTCCTGCCGCACTTTCAGTTGGCCTGCTATTCACAACAAGCGCTCCATAAATATTTGCTGTGCCTCAGCACAGATTCATAACTCATAAAGGGGCTGTCTCTCCGACTGTCTGTTCGTTTCCCCGACTGTCCCCTCCAACTCGTCGTCCTGCGTCCTGCGTCCCTTTTCTGCTTTCTCTGGCTGTGTGTTTGCCTGGCCCCAATGGATAGCTGGGGCCTTACCACATGTAATTAGGTTGCGGTTTTCCACCTTCTGCCGCTTCTGCCGCTTCTGGCACGTCTTCCTCTTTTGGCAATGAATCCTTTTGCCACACGCCCGTATCCTCTTTGGCAAGTGTCTGAGTGTCTTGGTGATTGTGTGCCAGGATACTAGAGTGAGCCGCTTTTGGTGGTAATTAGGAAATAGGTTCATATTGCTCATGTCTACAACTCAATTTACCTTCAATGAGAGCATGGATTTTATTTATACAAATGTTCTATACAAAAATATTATATAACATTTTGTAAATTCTATTCAATAAAGAAACATATATTTAAATATTACTCATACGACACGTAAGCCAGGCCAATTGTAGTTATACGAAATCTGTGCATAAAAAAATTGGTATCCACTGCGTATGAGTGATATACTATAAAAATTGTTATGAGTTTTTTATGACTTCTGTTCGTGAAAATTTGGAAAAAGGGTGTTTTTACGATCTTAAATTACACCTAAGCTCAGGTCCACCCTGCTGGTCTCAAGTCACCTACTTTAGCCAGGTTTTTTTTGGCCACTGGTAACCAATCTGCAGCTGCAGCGCCCTGATGAAACGTTGATGTTGTCTGATGCTGCTACTGCTGCTGCTGCTACTGCTACTGCTGCTGCTGATGATGATGATGCAGATTTTGATGATGTTCATGGTGATGATGACGCCAGCGCTGACGCTGGCAATGATTGGGTTAACGACTACGTGGCGCAGACGTTGTGCCATAAATTTCGAATATTTGCACGCTCGCCACGTTACGCTTTAGACGAAAGGCGATGGCAGAGCACACTGGCCTAACTTGCCAATTTGCCTGCCCCAAAACCGATAGCGGGTCATAACTGACCTTTTATTATGATTTGCAGCATGTTATGACTAATCGCGGGTCTACGTTGCGGAGGCTGCGAGGTCAATATTTCATAAAGAAATAACTCAAAAAAGAGAAAACACTGACTAAGACCTTGAAATACCAGCTTGGGTTTTTCATTATGAAATTTATAAATTGATGAATTTATAACTATTTTCTTAATGCTTTTGTGTTGTACACTAAATCCTACATAAGTTATTTGCATATAAATTTCAATTAAAAGTGTATTTAATGCGGTATATTAATTGCTTTTAGTCCACTGTGCAGAAGTGGCAGCAGTGAAATCGTCTGCGATTGCCAATGAGTGAGAAATGTGTTTGCTAGACAGAGACAACTACTGCGCATGTCCGCCGCCGCAGTCGCGGTTGGCGTCGCTGCCAGCATCCTGCATCTTTTGGCAGATTCAGCAAGCAGCGCAGAAGTTAGGCCACCAAGCCAGAGCACACAATGGTCATCCCGCTCGCGCACAGGAAATTGAATGGGGGGCAGCAGGCTGCATTCAGCTGGGAGCCAAAAAGAGAGAGCGAGAGCAAGGACAAAGCCTGGAGTTTCCGCCAGAGAGAGAGAGAGAGAGAGAGAGCAAGGACAAGCAGTGCAGGGAGAGGGAGAGAGAGCAAGGACAGCCAGCGGAGAGCTTCAGCTGGATGCTGGCTGCTGGCTGGACTCGAAGGATTCAGACTATAATTGTGCACCTTGCTGACTGGTTCTGTGCCAGTTTAACGCGAGCCCTTGCCTGGACAGCACGGGTATACAGTAGCAGCAGGACAGGCAGCATCAGCAGCACCACACTCACACACACGCACGCACAACGGCTGCTGCAAAACACACACAGACACACACACCAGTGAGTTGCCATACGGCGCAGCGAAATGCAAAAAGCAGGAAAAATCCCAAGAAGAAGTCAAAGAAAAACTGAAGAAAAACCGCAGACAAAGTTCGGGATAACCGAAAGAAAACTGTAAAACTTTTTAATTGCAAGCAGTGCACACTTTCGTTACTCAACAAAGTTGCGCGCAAAAAAGTATGCAACATAAGAAGTGTAATGGAAAAAAGCATTGATTTTCACTGCGAAAATTCCCATACACACACACATACATTTACGCAAACAAAAAATAAGTGTGCGTGGTCGTTTTGGCTACTTTTTTCGCAGCCTCTCTGGCTTTTTCTTTTTTTTTTGCATATTGTCCGATCCGGTCAGCTTCTTGATTTCGCACCCCGCTCTCTCTCTTCGCTCTTGGTGTGTATGTGTGGGAGTTCCTGCTCCTTTCTCTCGAAAGAGAGATTTTTTCACTCTCTCTTGGAGAAGCAACAACCGCAACAAGGATAAGGCAGCGACGGCAGCTGCGACGTCGGCAGAGCAACCATTTCGACCGCATTGCCAAATCGATTTGCCAAAAACGATTATCAATGATTTCACGAACGCGCCACCAAAATTCGTTCGCCAATTGAATTAAATTAATCTCATTTTGCCTACGTGTATACGTGTGTGTCTCTGAGTGTGTGTGAGCTGGTGTGTGCGGTGTGAATCGAATTAAATCGGTGCAGAACAAAAACTAATTTAAACCAATTTATCCCGACAAACTACAGCCAGTGCAAGCAAATAGAGAAATAAAATAAAACAATAAATAAAGAACAAGAAGATGTACTCTTTAATTCATTGAACCAGAAAAAAAACTCTTATAAAAACACACAGACAACACAACGAGTTAGATACGCACAACAACAACATTTCGTTGCAGTAAGTATGAGCAGCTAAAAAGAAAAGCATAGAACACCTGAAAGAAAATCCTTCCAACACTAACCACCCATCTGCAAACTTGGAATTCCCCAACAGACTGAAGTTCGCTTCACTTCACTTCGCCACTCAGCACAGCACCGCCCCGCCCCCTTTCCCAACGCCCCCTTCCAAACTCCCCCGACAAACGCTTCCTATGCCATTTCCGTTTGCCTTATCAAAAATGTGTATATATACACAAAGACAGGGAAGCGGGGAAAAAGGGGGAGAAAGCGAAGAGAAGCTGCAAGAGAATTCAACTACAGTGGTCGCGAGGAAATTAGAATTGCCATATACAACCGATTCCGATTCGATACAAGTCAAAAGAATTGATTAAATAATATAAATATCTAGAACATCAAATAATCAATTCATTTGACTAGTCTTGAAAACAGCGATTAAATTATATACATTGTTTCAAAATACGCATTTTTTCCTATGGTTAGCTTGTCCTTTTAATATCATAAAGCAAAATAATTAAACTCGATGGTTAGACTAAAGTTAAACCATTTATTTGAAAATAGGAAGCTAATTTGAAATGCTTTCAATTTACTCTTATTTTTTTTCAAAGAAAACTAAACATCAGTCTCCAAAAGTATTCTATACTTAAGAAGTCCTTATGATTATCTAAGGAATAGCGAAACAGCAGCAAATTATTTGCCAATCAAATCTAGACTACTGTCCATTAGCTTTCAATACACCAAGCGACCACTGTGCATGAAAAATTTTTGAGGTTTCAATTGCTCTGTTTTATTTTTCTTTTAATTTTCCTCTGTTTCCACTCTCGAATTCATCAGTACCGCATTTCTTCTCCACGAAGGAGCAAGTGCAGCCCCAGTGGTTTAGACGGGGAGTCCTCTGAGCCCCAGTGGTCCTTTAGGATCCAGATAGACTGCTAAAACTCACTTTACCTTAACTCAGTAGTTGAGTTTCGTTTTTGTTTTTCCATTTTTGTTTTTTTTTTTTGACTGGCTGCGGTTCTTCGGTCTGCTTTCTTTCATACTTTTACTGCTCTGCTCTCTCGCTGTTTTTGGCATACTTTCTTTGTTGGTTTTTGAATCTTTTATGAATTGAATTTGGTTATTTTGAACGCGTATGTTCCGCTGCAAAGTTCCAGCTTCCACATCCTTGTCTGACATCCTGCCCCGCATTTGTGGGCCTCCGGGATAATGCCAAAGCCAAAGCCAAAGCCTGAGCCTGAGTCTGAGCCAAAGACGAGCACGTTCCCATTCAATTATGGGCGGCATGTGGCACATTAGCATTCAGCGGAAGCTGCGCCAAAAGCAAACATTTCAACGCCTCCCGGTTCGTGGGGTCCCTTTTATTATGCGAATATTATTTAAGCATTCACAATTCCGTTTTAATTTAATTCGATGGCAGTGGCAGACTTTCGGCAGTCAGTGTGGAATTTGTTGAAAACTATTTAGCATAAATAGTCTCCGCCTGCGGTCCCGATAGTCGCCAGGGAATATCCTGGCAATGGAGTCCTTCGGCCCACTTTATCTCCTGCCTGCCTTTTGTGTCCCTCAGTCCTCCTGCCCTTATTAGCGCATATAATTTCCCGAGTTCCATGTTTTAGGATTTTTTTGTTGTTTTTTTTTTTTTGTTTCACAGTCTTGTTTTCTTCCCCATGCCTTCGGTTTTTATTTTTATTTTTATTTTTAAGGCTTTTTCCCCAAACGATTGCCTTTTGGAACCGTTTAGATAAAAAGCCCCGTTCTGCCTTTTGGCCACCCCCAGCGAGTTCTGTTTTCTCCCCCCAGGGACAACACAGGTTTTTATACAGTAAATTTTTATTTTTATCTCTGAGGCACATAAAATACACATTTTCAGTTGCCTAGACAGTGAGTTTAATTAGAACGAGGCGCGGAATAGAGAACTGTCTACACAGAAACAATACAAAGTTTGTAGAGCTTAGGAACAGAGATTTCAGACATTTTTATGTACTGAGAAAAATAGATAAAATCTTGAGCAAAAGTCTATGGAAGGGTAATAAAATATTTAGATTTTCTCAGGATTATGTTACGACAACTCTTGCCATTTATAGGGTTTTTAATAGGTTTTTTTTAAAGATTTTTTTCTTATGGGTTTTCACAAAACAGCTTGGTGGGCTTTTATTTCCCTTAATTGATTTTTCCCCAGTGCATATTACGCTCCATTTGGCTCCCATCTGTTTCGTTGATTGCTTTCGGGGATGGGGATTTAAGGGCAAGGGAATGTGAGGATGCCTACTGTTGCTCTAATTTCAATTGTACAGGTGTGTGTAGAAGGGATTAAATATCTAATTTATTTGTATTAAATGTGAAAACAACCGTTTCGAGCAGGGCTCTCAACAGTATGCCACATTAAATTGAAATTCCTTAAACCCGAATTGCCTTTCCCCCCGCTGCTGTGCTGAGTTTGTATATAGTTAACACCCCTCCCCGAATCCCACACAACATACGCCCACACCCACCCACCCACACTCACATCCCAGTCGAATAAAGTTCGTTAAATTTTTGAGCTTTTCAACGATTTTCCTTTGCAGAAATCGCATGCTAGAAAATTTGAAAATCTAAAAGTTAAACCAAAAAAAACACAAAACAAAATCAATTCAAAATTAAACGCTAAAAGTTGCATCAAATTAAAAAGACATACACATCTATATAGAGAATTCAATAATAAAGAATATAAAACCAAACTAAACTCCAAAATACAACAAATTAATTACAATTGTGATGAGCAAGTTAATTGCATCAATTGCAGCATATAAAATCTCAAGCATTTAAAAAAAAGCTTAAACCCATATATTTGCCGCCCAGGCAGACTCAATTAAAAGGAAACAATAATTTATTGCCACATCAATTCAGCGACGTCGTGGGAAGCCGAGAAAATTGGAGATACACACCACACACACAGACATAATTTACCAGTGATAGCAACAGAATTTACATAACAATTAAAAATAAAAAGCCAACAATAATAATAATAACCCGAAAAACCGAAAATTGTTGTAGACTTTTAACTCGCCCAGTCAGTTGTTGTTGTTGTTGTTGATTAATCGTAATAGAAGTTGTTGTTCAGGAAATGCTGTGATCAGAGAGGGCAGTTACATGAAGTTAATTACAAAATAGCTTTGATTACAAGCTGAATAAGTAGTTCAAATACAAATTATAGAAAAAGAGTGAGCAATGCTCAACGGCAGTGACAGCAGCAACAGCAACAGCAGCAACAGCAGCAGCAGCAGCAACAACTCAAAACACGGCAGCAACATCGGCGCATCTCCTGGCCTCAAACACATATCAAAAGGCTAGAAAGTGCACCGCACAGAAGGGCGGAGAAAGCAGCGAAAGCGGAGAAAGCGGCCAAAGGACACACAATTTACCCGCGCCACAACTCGCCACCGCCCCCGCATCGCCTGCAATGCTCTGGTAGCCAAGACAGTTTTACGGTGGATCACTACTGCGCCGGCGGCGACCCACAGGCAGCAGGAGCAGCAGCGGCGGCAGCGGCAGCGGGCGGAACCCAACCTGGATCGGCCGGATCTGGATCTGGAGCTGGAGGAGGAGGAGGAGCTGCATCTGGAGCAGGCGGACCAACGGCGGCGGGTCAATGGTCCAATGCTGGCGGCATCGGCGTGACCTCCTGCGGCATCGGCATCGGCATGTGCCAGCATCATGGGCTCACATCACAGTCGTTGATGTCCGGTGGCTCGCACATGTCGCTGCTCGGGAGCAGCGGCAGCAGCGGCATGAGCGGCAGCGGCGTCGGCAGCAGCGGTCAGGGTGTACCCATGTCCATGCCAATGCCCATGTCCATGTCCATGGCCATGGCCATGCCCCAATGTCCGGCGGCAGCAGCTGCGGCGGATGGGGGAATCGGTGGCCACTGTCGCAGCCTGAGCGGACTCAGCTCGATCAGCATACCGCCGCCGCCGGCGCTCTTCAATCCGTGCAGCTCGGCGCTGTCGCTGCAGCAGGCGGCGTCCACCCGCTGGGGACCACGTACCTCCTGTCCGGTCCACAGTCCGTTCCGGGTGCGCGTGCCCAACGGCTCCATCTGCTCCGGACACCAGGTGAGAGCGTTCGTTTCGGAGGGGCTCATTTTGCCAGATTGCAGTTTGCAGTTTGCAGTTTGCAGTTCGCAGTTCGATAACTGAACTAAAGCACTACCAAATGTATTATGTATTTCTCAACCCCCTGGGTTATAAACCACCCAATCAGTCGCTAAAATCCGTTGACTAATTGCTAATAGCTTGCCACAAAATCTTGTTTATTGCGCTTTTGAGTTTTGCCATAGAAACTGTACATATGTATTAATTGTAGCCCTAAGTAGTTTAGTTTCCTTACCAATTGCAACTTGACTTATGTCTTTGTCTCTTTTTTCTTCCTCTTTTCTCTTCCCAAATGGCTTACTCACTACTTTTTTGGCCCCGGCAGGTAAGCAACGCTTAGCGGAAGCCCAGCATTTTGGCAGTGCTTCGAAATGTGTCAACGACATGTAAGATTATTTTCATTTGGGCTGCCCAAACGCCCAGAAAAAAGAAAAACTAAAGCACACAAAGATCAGGCGTACACGCATACCGCATATGCTCAAACACAAAAAGACTACATTGAATAACGAGGGGGGTTTAAATGGTTGTTAGGGCTTTTTCCTAGGAAGTCTTAACTTATTTGGTTGAATTGATAACTTTTGAAGAGAATCTATGGGTACACATTGTGTTACAAAAAAGTTTGATGCTTCAAAAGATACTTATATATATTTGACAATTTACAAATTAATTTAAGCTGTTTATCCACTTGCCTTGAGCTCTTTCGGATGTATTTATTTTATTTATTTTATTTTTCTATTAATGCTTTACTTTGCTAAAAGACAAATTCGTCAGCACATAATGGGAATTATTAAAAATTAAAATACAAGCCGAGAAGTTATTTTCAAAGTATTTGGCTTATTTTAGTTTTACGTTTCACTTAAAGAAAACAATGTCAGTTATAAAACATTATATTTCAAGTCGAGAAGTTACTTTCAACACACATAGCTTATTTTAGTTCCATGTTTTTGGATTGCGAATTCACTTAAAGAAAATATAAAATAACGATATTCTTTAAATTACACGAAAGAGATGCCAGTTGTTTGGGGAAGCATCCATAGGAACTGCCTACTTAAAAGCCTCTTAGAATGCCACCAAATGGGCACCTCATTTGAAATGGTGTATTCCTGTTCCTGATGCCTTAATCCGAACACAAAAGGAACATCCATAGCAACTCTCGTTGGGACAGCTCACATAGTTTCGCAAATTATAAAGAGCTCGATTCACATGATTGCCCAAGCGGTGACCCGGTTACGTTTTCTGATTTTTTTTTTCGGTTATTTTTATTTTTATTTTTTTTTTTTGCCTGGGCTTAGGATCCCTTTTGGTCTTTTGGGTTGGGCAGGGGGTTTTGGGCTTTTGGTTTTGGCTTCGGCTTTGGCTTTGGCTTTGGGTCGCTTTTCCTAAATCAGCGACAGGCGCAGGTTTTTGCTTGACTGCGTCGGGCACAAAACAGGGGAAAGAGTAAACTACGATGTGGCAACAGAAACTAGAGCAGCGACAGGGGATCGACTATCAGAAATCCCGGCCCTTTGTGACAATTGCCATTTAACGTTGTTTTCCCTGATTCGCTTTCCCTGTTTTATGCCCAGCGCTTTTCTTTCGCTGCCACCTTCCTGGCATCAAATTGAATGTCACTAATGCAATTAGTTCACACAAAATAATTCTCTTCCACTCGATTATAGAGCATAATATGCTCGTTGTCATTTATTATGAGAAGCCAACCGAAACACGCACAAGGAGCAAGGATGAAAGTTACGAAGCGAGTCATATGCAAAGTGGGCGAAGTTGTCGAGGGGCGGGGCTCCGAAGGTTACCGCTGCTGCTGCTGCTGCTGCTGCTGCGACACAGGACCATTACGCCTTTCAATTTTTGCGCTAGGGCAAAATTTACATAAATATTACACAAGAACACAAGAACAGAAGAACAGAAGAACACTGGGCGCTCGAAGGGCGGTTTCCAAGGGGCATGAGGCATAGCAAATAGGCTCGTTACGCTGTCGGCACGGTTCCGAAAGATCATCCCGCCAAGGGCAACCAGCAAAAGGTGTGGTCACCAACGCCTCGAAATTGAGTTTCAACTTTTTTAAAAGGAATATAACAAGGCCATAACTATAAAAAAAAACTCTGCATTGCATAAAGCTTAGGCAACGACTTAAATTCTGCTAATGGAGTTCGCCCAAAGTTGTCCATTCTTAAACACGTAAAGTTTCACTAGGCCTCGTTGAGAAAGTTTTGCTGCCGTGGGTGGACTGAAACGGAATCTTTGATAATTTTTGGGCATTTAATATGGGTAGTTCACTTGTCATTGCCCTGACAACCTATCAAAGGTAAATGAGGCTCAAAAGTACTCAAACTTGAAAACTTTTCCTTTTTCGCAAAAACTTTTGGGCAAATAAAAAGGGACTTTTACGAAAACGCTGATTTATCAGTGCTATAACCATATGCTAGCATAACTTAAGGCCAGAAAATGGATAATTTATTATGTCCTTTATTTATTTATCAAGTTGAAAAGTGGCAGATAAGATTACACATTTTAAAAGGTTTGTGGCTGCAATCTCTAAACAAATGTTTTTTCTTAACAATAGCAGAGACTTAAAGTAAATGGTAAATTATTTAACAACATTAATATTTACATCCTCAAGTGGTTAAACGGGCAATTTGTTTTCCGAAAACCTTTTAAGAAATAGCTAAAATTTGATGAGATAGATTCATCTTTCGCATTACCCGTCAAGAAGCCCTTAAGTCACAACCATTTCATTTGATTATCTCTCTAGAGGTGTTCCCATTAACATCTTGTTGGTGTCTTATCTAAAGCATCCCACAAATGATTCCAAAAATTTCTCTCATCGCGAACATTAGCTGCCTAAGTACCTCAAATTTGATGCCACAATGCATGAGAGAATGTGTAATTTCCAGTGGTGGTGGAGGGCCGAGACTAACTAACTTACACCTGCCTGATGGTGGACGTCATGGTGCGGCACATGGCACATGCCACCTGCCACATGCCACATGCCGCATGCCACACACACGCATCCGCACAACACATTCACGAAAGTGTTGTCATACATTTAGCATTCCCTCTGGCAGGCAAACAAAAAACTTTTATCTTGATAGAAGGTCTTGAGCAACGCTTTTTTCGGGGCACCGGACCCAAAAAAAGCTGCCGAAGAATAGAAAGTGAAGACGACAGGGCAAGGAAATGGAAATGGAAAAGGAAGGGCGACAAAAAGTGCCTAACTGACAAACTGACTGGTGGACCGAAGGACCAACTGAACGACTGAAGCCTTGACACTCTTCATTTGTGAATGCGTTAATTGCGCCCGAGGATGTATGTATGAGAACATTAGAGTGGAACTTGGATGCCTCACAAGTTTTAGGCTCCACTATAAGTTCCTTTTTTTTGCTAAAAGAAGACAAAAGCTGATTTGAGCGATATATACAACAAATAATTTGTTTTATTGAACTAATACATTATTTAGCTTCATAAAAGTTATGTTAAAAACTTAACTTTTATAAAATTACATTCGAAAACTTTCTATTGCCAACCATGAAATCTTTATTTCCCAATTTTTTATTGCAAAAGTATTGGTAAATTTCAAAAGTTTACAAAGTGGGCTCTCTTGAATTTGTTCTTTGTTAAAACGATCAAACAAGTTGTTAACTGGGTTACATGTCGTATGAGTAATTTTTCCAAGAAAAAAATGTTTTCAAAGCCCCAAATTTTTAATTTAATTTTGCTTAGAATACGTTAATCAGGCGAGTTAAATAGCCTAACTTTGGCATACGACGGTCCACCCTGCCGAGCATGTGTGTGTGTGGGTGTTTTTTGCGTGTGTGAGTGTCAATGATTATGATGCTGATGATGATGAACAAGCACAATAGCCTGAAAAAGCAGTTAGAGCCTGTAAGAACAACAACAACAACAGCGATTACAAGCAGCAAGTGTGTACATTATTTTGCAATTTAACAATCCCCACACTCCACAGGACATCCCATCCTTTTTTTCAAGGCAGGCATAAAACAACAACTTGAGAAAAACAAAACAAGAAGAAGAATGATGTATGAAGAGGGAATAGGGGTATGGGCTGGGGGCTGGGGGCGGAGAGAAAGTATGAAAAAAGTGAAGAAATAATTAGTTTACTTGTTACGAAAGTGAGTTATCGCCCTTTGTGCCGCTGCAGCCGTTGCGGCGTTGTTTGCCTAGTTCAAATTGAATAAACAAATTTCACATGCCGCACCCACACCCACACGCATAAGCGCATGATGTGTACAAAACGCACACTTAGACAATGTGTCGAGTGTGTAAAAATAATAATGTGTGTTTTTTTTCACACACAAAGAACAGCTCAGCAAAGATGAAGGAAGAAAGCGTGCTATAAAGTTACATTTACATATGCAGATGTGCATGTGAGTGTCCTGTTGCGAGGGATATTTTGATGGCTGTGTGTGTGTGTGTGTTGAAGAAAGTGTTGCCCACCTAACGGCGTCATTAGTCACACGCACACAATGAAAGCGAGTGAGAAATTGCACACTTACAGAAATGTATCTCCTCAATGGCATAAGTAAATGAAGATGTCTAAAATCGGCAAAATTTTGCACTCGCAACATAATGCATTGTCTCCTTTTACCTTGATTAAATTTTCAAAAAACAAACTCAAGGACACTTGTCTTTATGGTTATAGTGTATATTGCTTAGCTATTTATTATTCTTTTGAAACGTTACAATTGAAAATGCACAATTAATAACCAAACCATTTTAATTAACCAAAATATTTACAAAGTAATTTCGCAGCATTACGTTTTTAAGCAAAAAAATATATAAGAGTTGTTGTTACAAAAACTTAAAAACTGAATTCCTTTCAATTTCCAATTCCATAAAAAATCCACTTTGTCTTTTGAGACTGGAATCAAACCTAAAAAAATTTTCCCTTTCGAGCAATTTTTCAATAAATAAAGCTTAAAACCGAACAAAAAATTTAATTG